AATGATTGACACGAACCATTTAAAATGGGTGGAAATGTGGAGATGGAGGACAGAGTTGGGTGGAGCATTGATATCCTGGAGGGGTTAGTTATAAAGCCCTAGCCTCTCACGGGCCAGTCTTTATTTCCCCATTGTTCTTTCTTAGAACAAATATTTTTGCAAATTTTTACTTGACTCTCTCGCAGTCAGGACACCTGAAACTCAGGGGTTAAAAGGGCGACAGGGAGATACAGTTGGGGTGCAACAGGTAGGGCAGAACCTTAGAGAGGAGCAAGAGAGAACTTCGAAAAGGCTTATTTGGGAGGACCTGAGGATCACAGAAAACTGTGCACTCCTCCTAACCTCTTGCACCTCCACACTCTGTGTGATCTAAAACCTGGATGTGAAATCCTTCCCCAGCCTAGACACAAAATCTTGACGCTAGACAGAAAAGTACTCACAGGTTAGACCGTATGAAAAATAGAAGTATTTGTGTGACAACAGATACAAAAAGCCCAGAAAGAGAAGCTACAGGCTGGAAGAAAAGCTTCATAAAATGTTGTGTATTTTAAGGATATATTATAACAAGGAGGAGCATTCTCAATGCTAAGGAACTTCTACAAATCACTAGGAAAGAGACAAAGCTGAGAAAGGATGGAAACAGACAAGTTTGGAAGAAGTGGGCATCCAAAATACTCATGGCCAGTAGTAATGAAGAGAATGCAAAAGGAAACACCATTACAGTTTATCACTTCATTGATACAATTTATAATTTTTATAAATGTTATAATATTTATAAAACATTTATAATACTTCAAATTGGCAAAAGTGAAAGGATGGTTGACAACGTGAACTGATGTGTGTGTGTGTGTGTGTGTGTGTGTGTGTGCGTGTGTGTGCGTGTACCTACATATACCACGACACGCAGGTGAAGGTCAGAGGACAGTGCTGTAGACTTGGTTCTTGGAAGGTGGTCAGACTTTCAAGACACTCTTCTACCTGCTCAGCTCCTTGCTAGCACACAGCCTTTTTGTTGTTGTTGTTGTTGTTGTTGTTGTTGTTGTTTGTTTGTTTGAGACAGAGTTTCCTGGTGTAACATCCTTGGCTGTCCTGGAACTAGCTCTGTATCTATAGACCAGGCTGGCCTCAAACTCAGAGATCTGTCCGCCTCTGCCTCTGGAGTGCTGGGATTAAAGGTGTGTGCCACCACTGGCTGGCTGCTAGTCCACAGCCTTTCTGCAGTAGCTGTGACTTTGGAGGACACTTTGTTAAGTCTTCTGCTTTCAGGAACTAATCTTATCACATCTATCTCCACACAAAGGCAAAAGTACAACAGTGTCAAGCGGTGACTTGAAGACATTTATTTAAGGCTAGCACTCAGGACCCTGAGACACAGAGAAGTTAGGCAATTTACTTGGGATCACACAGGTGACATTAGAAGTGGCAGGTAGCTCAGGCAGTTGTTCTCCACAGACTGTCCTCAGCTGTTATACTAATGAATACAGCAAATATAGGATGGCATTCTCATATTGTGGGACAGAGTACAGCAGTGAGAAAATGAGGATTTTTCCGTCTACACATGTGGGCATGTACCAGGACACAATAATGGGGGATGGATTATAAAGTTGCAAAATACTATGATATGGTGCCATTCTATGTACATGAAGGATATATATATATGTGTGTGTGTGTATGCAAATAATTAATATATATAAATAATTATCTATGAGAATATGTAAAAACTTTGAGTGACAACATCAGGCATGTGAAAGAAGAGTCAGCACCAGACATGATGGTTCGCATTTGCAATTCCAGCACTTGGGAGGTTGAGGCAGGAGGATTTACTCCTGTGAAGAAATAGATCCTTGAAGTTAAAGACTAGAAATTAGTGGAAAGGAAAACACAATCAATTTTTAAAATTAAAAACAAAACGACTAGAAATGAGGATGTGGTTTTCTGATAGATAAAAAGGGAGATCCCTGTACCTTTAATTAACACCACAAAGTGTCAGAAGGTCTAGAAGGGACTCCTGGGCAGTAGATGTTAGGAATAGAATGACCGTGATCTAGAGGCTATCCTGGGCTACATAGTAAGTTCATTGATGTCTGGGTTCCTAGGTGACATTTTGTCTAATAAAATAAAATAAAAACTTAGAATAGTGTGCGAGTAAACACTAGAAGACAAAATTTCAGGTTATAGTCTATGTATTTCTGGTTTGTTTGAACTTTTAGCTAGATTTCATATGTGTGTTCCTTTTGTAAATAAGAATGATCATGCTGACCAAAAATTAATTAGAAGAGAGACGAACTGAGGATGGTTTACTACTTATCAAGAAACAAATCTTGTCTTCCAGGCAGGCAATGGTGTGGGTTGTGTGTAAATATCTTTAAACAAATTACTTATCATTGTGTGTGTCTATGCATGACATCTGTGTGTGGGTGCCTGTGTGGAGGTCAGAGCACAACTCTGTGGAATGGTTCCTGAGATGGAACTCAGATCACTAGGCTTGCTGGTGAGCATCTTTACCCTCTGACTCATCACAACAGCCCCCTCTGGTCTTCCTTACCTAATGGCTCTCCATAAAAGTATGCACATCTTGTTGTTCCTTTTATTTATTTACTTTTTTGTGTTTTGTGTGTATGCATATAGTCATGTACACATATACATGTGTGTGCTGGCATACGTGGAGGTCAGAGATTGACACCGAGTGTCTCTCTTCATTGTTCCACACCGTATTCATTTGTTTGAGATAGGGTCTCTCACTGAACCTGGAGCTCAATCTGGCTAGGCTGGCTGGCCAGCAAGCCTCAGGGATCTTGCTGTGTCTTCCTCTTCAGAACCCAGACTTAGGTACGTGGGAGACTTTTTACATGGGTGTTGGGGAGTGAACTCTGGTCCTTATGTTTGCAAGATAAGCACTTACTGACCCAGCCATTGTCACAGCTTCCTATTTTTTCTTTTCTTTTCTTTCCTTTCTTTCTTTCTTTCTTTCTTTTTTTAAGATAGGCTCTCTGGTAGTAGTCCTGTCTGGCCTCGAACTTGCTAAGTAACTAAAGATGGCCTTGAACTCCTGATCTTCGCCTCCACCTCCTGAGTGCTGGGATTACCGACGCGCACCACCACACCTAGCTACTACTATTCTTTTAAAACAAGGTTCCCAAGGCTGGAGACCATGCTACTCCACCAAAGTCCATACAAACATATAGCTGGTCATTTCAAAATTTAATTTGTAACCCTAAAGATCACAGTGTTCCTATTGAAAACCTATTATACTATCACCAGGAAAAGGACCTCTTAATCATGAATACCTAATTATTTTGCTCCAGTGCACTACTGGGAGGAGCAGTTAGCTGGCTCTACCCTCCTGCCTTGGGTCTGTGGAGGCTTGAGAGAGTAAATTCACCTACTGGCTTGAAGTTCTACTTTTTTTTTTTTTGACCAGAGGCAGTTCTATTATCTGCAACAGAAAGGGCTCTCTCTTGAGTCATCCAGGGCCTCTTCCTGCCTGAGTCCAAGTCAGAGTGACTTCACACAGAAAGAAGAGACATTCCTGGAATGATGCTATGGTAAAGCCCGGTTTTCACAAAGCCAGGGCTGGAGACTATCTGCAGGTATAGCTTTGACACCTACGCGAGCCTTACAGTCTCAGGATTTAGGGGTATTACACTTGTAGCTTCTCTTAGAGTGACCCATTCAATAAGTATAGTTTTTCAAGTTTTGAAATTCAGTACAATTCTTAACATCTTTTTGCTGCTGTTTTCCAGACAGGGTTTCTCTGTGTAGCCTTGGCTGACCTGGAACTCGCTCTGTAGACCGCGGGCCTTGAACTCAGAGATCTGCCTGTCTCTGTCTCTCAGTGCTGGGATTAAAGGCCTGTGCCACCGCCGCTCTCCTTAGCTTTAGAAGGGGGGAAAATCCCATCCACTTAGGAACAAGTGTGTTTTCATTTGTTTACTCATTTCAGAGTGTTCACGATCCCCCTTTGTATTTTTAACTTCCGGTACATTTTCTTCCTTCAATTTTAACTGGCCTGAAATACCTTCAGGATTCTTCCCTGATGTGACAGAGTTTATTTGGATTATTCAGTTAGTTGCAGGCCGATTCAGTCCACTCCCAGGGCTTTGGTCATTAGGAACATTCTGAATAGCCCAGCTGTAAACATCTCCACGCAAAGTCCTCCCCTCTTTGGATCATTTCCTTACACTTGGACTTCCTTAAATGGGCTTACTGGGTCAAAGGGGCTCTGTGAACAGTTTTATAGCTCTTGGCACATAGTTTTCAGATTGCGCCCGGAGAAGATCTGACCAATGGCTCCAGGGCAACGAGAGGGCAGGAATGCTGAGAAGCAGCCCCTCTTTCAGCCCCAAAGCAAGGCCCCTGTGAATGCAGAAGCGCTTCCCCATTGCCCTCCCGTTCCCTTAGCCTGGCCAGGGTCTAAGGTCTAGAGCCAGGCGGACACCGTGCTCAGGGAAGGGCACAAAGGGAAAGCCCAAGATCAGTGCCTCGGAGGCGGGAGCAACTCCTTCAGGCCTCCCTGCCCGGGGACTCAGAAATCGAGCAAGTCCCCGACTTTAAGCGCAGGCTAGGGGCGCGGCTTCACCGCCCCCTGAAGCCCCAGGCCACGGCCCGAGGCGAGCAGGCCCGGGAAAGGGCGCTGACCCAGGGCGCTGGAGTTCGGCGCGGCTTGCATAGTTACGCGCTGAGTCAGATGGACCAGGCGGGAGGGGGGCAAGGACGTCAGCTAGGCCGCAGGGTCCGGCCGGCGACGCGGGACACGCGGCGGGGACTACGGGGGACGGCGCTGCCACGAGTCCCGTCTCACTGCCCCGGGAACGGGCCAGACGAGGAAGCGAGACCGGCCGGGGCTGGGGGGGCGAGGGTGGGAAGAGCGGAAAAGAAGCTCGGCAGCGCAGAGCGCAGCTCAGCGGAGGGGCAGGGCCGGAGGCCAGGGGGCGGGGCGCGCTGCGGGGACGCGCCCGGGTGGGCGGGGCGGGGACGCGGGCGCGCGCGGCCGGCCGCGGGCGGAGGGGCTTGTGGGTAGCGGCGGCGCGCGGCCGAGGAGGGCCGCGGTGTGGACTGTGTGTCTGTGTGTGTGTGTGTGTGTGTGAGGGGAGCGGGCTTGTGTGCGCGCGAGGCGGCCGGCGGCGACATGCGGACGGCCGGGCGGCGGCCCTAGCGGCCCTAGCGGCCCGAGCCCCGAGGGCGGGGCGGCGCGGCGCGGGCGCCCCTTCCCGCTCCCGCCCGCCGGGTCCTGGCGAGCTCGCTACGGGCCGGGCGGCGCGCGTGCGGCTGAGGGGCGGGGACGCCGTGTGCCTCGCTGCTCCCGGCCGGGCCGGGCGGCTCCTCAGACAGCGGCGCGCGGCGGGCCCGGGCGGAGGTTCCGCGGGCGGCGCTAGGCCCGGCGAAGCGGCATGAGCCGGCCCCCGCCGACGGGGAAAATGCCCGGCGCCCCTGAAGCCGCGCCGGGGGACGGGGCGGGCGCGAGCCGCCAGAGGAAGCTGGAGGCGCTGATCCGAGACCCTCGCTCGCCCATCAACGTGGAGAGCTTGCTGGTAGGTGCCGGCTTGGGAGGGAGCTCCCCGACTTGCCTGGTCCCCCCCTCCTTGGCTCACCCGCCCCAGCTTCCCGCTACCCGGGGGGCTGGAGACCTCACCTGGGATTCCTCCGGTCCACCTCCCACTGGAGCGGGTGTCACCTCGGCCGCCCCCTTTCTTGGAGCGCGCTGGGAGGAAACACCCCTGGGCTTCTTCCCGCCTACCCAGTCGGTTTGGGGCGGAAAGGTGGAGGATTGGTTGTGCTTCCTACCCCAGACGAGCCAGTTTGAAAGTGTCACGCAGCGTGGGAGCTAGGGTGAAATCGAGGGAGAAGGAAACCCGATGCTCCGTGTTGGGAGTGCCACCTGGGGTAAATGACAAAGAGCTGCCCTCACTCCGTCTTCTTGGTCAGGAATCTGGGAACGCACAGCTCAAGTTCGCCGTTTTGAGTTGCTCTTGGACATGCCATAGTAGCTATTTAGTGCATTTGAATTTATGTAAATTAAATTTCCGGAGATTGTTGCTCCGAAGCCAAGAAACGAGTCTGAGTTGTAGGACGGAATAAATCTTCTCCGTTCATCTTGTCTTTCCCATAGCCCTCAAAATCCAAATTAAGAACCTTGGGAAGGCTGCTAGATAGATGAAGGCTGGAACTGGATTAAGAAAACAACACGTTTTCCAATAAACGCCGCGTAGAATGCTGGCATACTTCTGGTCTTGGGGGAAGCAATTATGTTTGGCAAACAAATTTGGTTCGTGTGCAGCTAGAGATGCATTTCTGGGGGGAAAATGGTGTGAACATGTATCCCTAGGAGGAGGAGTCGAAAAAGATACTCAGGTTATTAGCTTTGGAGGACGAGCTGAAGGGTGGGTGATAGGCAGCGTGTGCCAGAAAGCATGTCAGTTCTGGGCCCAGCTAGGAGAAGCCTGGTGACTGATGAAAAACTGTCTCCTCCCTTTCCACTGACTAACTTTTCTTCTGAGGCCGTTGGTTGTCCTTTGAGGTTTCTGGAATCATTTGTAGTGACTCAGTCATGTTTGGCCGCAGTGCAGGAACTGACTAGAGAGTGGGTATCTTTCTGTTGCATGTGTAGAATGTAGAGATTTTTGCATGGGGGGCGGGGCCGGGGAGTGGGGGAAGAGTTTTATTTATTTATTTATTTGCTTGGTAGAGGGTTCGTGTGTTCTCGCGGGACAGTTTTTTGGAATTCTTTGGTTCAGAGTAGGATTAGTTGCATGGAGGTCATAGCCTTTCTGTAGATAAAACAAAGCTTCTCAGGCGTCACTGCCAGCATTTTCACTTTGGCATTTTGCTAGCAAAACTTTGATCCTAGGCCAGAAAGTTCAGTTAAAAATAGTATCTGTAAACCTCAAGTTTTCACCGGGTTCATCCTCAATCCCAGATAGAAGTGGTTTCCATTTCATATTCATCTCTTGTTAGTGATGTTGCTCATCATTATTAGGGTTATTTTGAGCTTGGAACTAAGGTTTATACCTGCTGACATGGCCATTTTGTTTTAATTAAATAAATTAATTAAATTGAAATATTTCCTAAATTGTTTCATGTGGTCAGGAACAGTTTAGTTCCTTCCTTGAGTACCTAGTACAGTCAAGACCCATGTTTGTTAAGGTGACATATTGCTGTTAGGTTGAAACTAGATGCTCATTTGACAGCAAGCTTACTGCTGTTCTTCCTTGATGACATGCCATTGAGAACCAATATAGGTGTGATTCTGGAGTGCCAAGTGTTACCAAGTCAAAATGTGCTCTTTATACCTTTGGAGTGAGGTGCCTGGTGCCTCTGTTATACACAGAAAGAAGCTGAAACATCATTAAAGTGATAATATCATATCTGTTATGAATATTTTACTATGAAATACTAGAATGAATTATGTGCTGCCTAGTTTTGTGTCAGCTTGGCCCAAGCTAGAGTCATCTGAAAGGAGGGACCCTCAATTGAGAAAATGCCTCCATGGGATCCAGTTGTAGAGCATTTTCTTAACTAGTGATTGATGGGGGAGGGCACAGACAACTGTGGGTAGGGCCATCCCTGGGTTCTATAAGAAAGCAGGCTCAGCAAACCACGGGGTGCCAGCCAGTAAGCAGTTCCCCTCCATGGCCTCTGCATCAACTCAAGCCTCCAGATTTCTGTCCTGTTTGAGTTCCTATTCTGACTTCTTTGATGATGAACCGTGGTATGGCAGTGTGAGCTAAATAAACTCTTTCCTTCTTAAGTTGGTATGGCTGTGGTGTTTCATCAAACACCTAAAACAAAGTAACATTTTCATTGTATATATGTATATGTAAAATTTGCTATTTAAACCATGTCTAAGTGCACAGTTGGGTGATGTTAAGTACATTGACATTGTGCCAACCATCACTGGCATTCATCCTCACAACCTTTTCATCTCTCCAAATTGTAACTCTATAAATTAGTCTTTAAAACAATATAAATTTTTTTATAATTTTTTAAAAAAAGTTCATGAAATAATAGCTGTTATCACTTTAAAGATTTGCAAGTACTATGAGCTATATTTCACAATTACTGTTTACTTAACGTTGCAATTCTTTTGGTTTTATTCTGGAAAGTCAGTCTCGCTCTCTCTCTTTCTCTCTCTCTCTCTCTCTCTCTCTCTCTCTCTCTCTCTCTCTGTTTTCTTGAGATAGGGTTTTTCTGTGTAGCTTTGGTGTCCTGGAACTCTATCAGTAGGCCAGGCTGGCTTTGAACTCACAAAGATACAACTAACTGTGCCTCCCAAGTGCTGGGATTAAAGGCATATGCCACCATCACCCAGCCTAGAAAAAATATTTTTAATAATCTGATACAAACGCAACATGGAATTTGGTTACTATATTCAGAAGCTTAGATATAACAGGTATTGCTAAAAATGGCATGAGATGATGAAGTATACTAGAACTTTCTGTAAAATGTTTTCAGTACGCTAGGCAAACCATTCATAGGAAAAGAAGTTGCACACGATAAGATGTAAAATGTTAGCCAGTGCCTGATACATGATGTCTTTACACTCATTTCACTTCTCCTATGTGCATTTGACACATTTTTGGTAGCTTTATGTTTTCTTTGATATAGGAAATGATTTTTGTTACAGATATTCTTGTTACACAGTTTTAGATGCATGCCATTTTCATTTTGAGCGTGACATCATAAGTAGTACTAATCATTGCTGTGCATATATAGGGCTGGATTCCAGGACACTATCAGTGTACAGACTAAATTATCTCTTTTCTTTGCAGAGGCTAGTTGCTTTATTTGGCTCCAAAATAAGCAGCTCTTTTGAAGTTGCAGATTGTGAGCTGCTTTATATTATATAAAAATAGTTTTCAAAGCCGGGCGGTGGTGGCGCACGCCTTTAATCCCAGCACTCAGGAGGCAGAGGCAGGCGGATCTCTGTGAGTTCGAGGCCAGCCTGGTCTACAAGAGCTAGTTCCAGGACAGGCTCCAAAACCACAGAGAAACCCTGTCTCGAAAAACCAAAAAAAAAAAATAAAATAAAATAAATAAATAAAAATAGTTTTCAGAGAGATTTGCTTCTGTAATTTTAAAAACAAAACAAAACATTTAGTTTGTGTGAGTTTGACGATGTGTGCCCTGCTTTGGCACCCGTGTGGAGGTCAAAGGACAACTTTTGGGAGTCAATTCTTTCCTTCTATTATGTGGCGTTCTAGGGACCAGACTCAGGTCATGGGGTTGTCAAGGCTGGATGAGAAGTACCTTTATCCACTGAGCTTTTTTTGAAGGTCAGTGTTGAACTATTTTAAGGGAGGACCTTAAGTGATACTCATTTGTAGTGTTTGAAACCTTTAGGTAAATAATTTGTGTCGTGTTGTCGGAGATCCTCACATTGCTTGCCTGTTGTATTTTAGTTAACTAACACATGTGCTGGAGAAAAGTCTTAGGGTTTGTGTTTTGGGATTTTATTTTGTTCTTTCAGAGAGTATGAAGTCATAGTAAGTAACCTGTAGTACCTAGGTTTTTGTGAATGGGTAAAGATGATCAAACATTTATTTACAATTTCAATGAGTTGAAAAACAAAATACCTATTCACCTATTAAATTAATTTACATTTTATTTATTTATCGATTTGTCTGGTTTTGGGTGGGACGTTGTGTGTCGTGGCATAGGTACGGAGGTTAGAGGACTGTCTGTAGGAGTCAGTTCTCTCCATCCCCCATGTGGATTCCAGTATTCAAACTAAAGCTGCCAGGCTTGGCAGCAAGTGCCTGTAGCTGCTGAGCCATCTGGTTGGGCCCAAAACACCTATTAGGACTGGTACCTGCCAACTATATGAAAATATTTACAGAAATTTTATTTTTGGTAGTTCTTACACATGCTAGGTGAATAGCCACAACTCCATGAAAATACTTATCACAGTGCTTAGGATCTTTCCATTTAGTGCTGGCTCCTCACACAATTCAAGTAAAATTGCACGTCTTTACTCCTCCCTACAAGTAATGACTGAGACTTTTGTGAAGATGCAATAAAAATTAAATAGAATAAAAGATGAAAAACTTTTTGTACATGTTCATTTGTGAAGTAGAGGTGGACATTTATAAAATACAGATTAATTACTTTAAAACTTACATTTCCTAAAACTTCCAAACCATAGAGAAAATTAATTGGCTTTAGTGGTGTGTGAAATTTACTGTTTAGACCAAGTTGAGTCCATAATCTTTTTTTTTCTTTTTTTTTCATAATCTTTTATGTATAATTTTGGTACATAAACAACTCTGAAAATAAATTCTTACCAAAATTTATTTTTTTTAATGGCAACTTCTTACCCAATCATTTCTTAGAGTGTTTGGAGTCTGTGCACTGTACTTACTGTAAGTGATAGTAGCTTTCACTGGAGAAATACTAGTATCTTGGTTTCAGGATGCTGTCATATCCCCAAGAAGGTTCTAGGAAATTTACAGCATGTGTACTGTATTACCATTTAAAGTTTGAAGAAAAAAAATCTCTAGTTTGAAGAATCTTGGTCCCAGAGTAAGGCTGGTAG